AAAAATAAGTCAAAAAACAACTTATTTTTCAGGAAAACATTTTCTAGGAAAACATTTTCCTTCATACCAAACACACCCTTATTTGGTAAAATGAACTATTTAGTTATAATAATATAAAAAAGTGATTTTGAGAACTACGTTAAGTTAAATGAAGATATTCTCTTCAAAATTTTGCTACCATAATTTTCAGATGTGGTACTCTTGACAAATAAGTCCAAAATTTATCCATAGGCTTTTATTTTGTTTTAAAATTACCAGTCGTTATACTTTCTTTTTTTTAATTTCTTGAAAAGTAAAAAAGAAAAAGGACATGCAGCTAACTTTTGGCTAACGTCAAAACGTCATTTTCCTCCTATTTTCCCCGGTAGGTTATAGGCAAAAGCTTTAACTCTGTATTACAGCTAGTTAATTATAGGTTTTTAATTAACACAACTTTGACCACAAGAAAAGAAATACAACGTAATTAAGTTTTTACACTGTCCTTGTCCATAATGTACAATATAACGCTGCTTAATTAAGCCTAGCTAGTGTAGACTAGTTTCTTTGCCTTCAATTTTTTTTTAGTCAACTAGTTTGGTTTGATTACTTTAAATACTATAGAATACTCTAAATAATAGCTATATTTGGTCAAAGTTACACCCTGTACCATGCAATCTTGGTAAATAAAATCTTGGTCTTTTAATAAATATATTGTGACCACCATCTAATCTTTTGCATTATGCCTCTGCAAATTTTATCATTTTTCGAAATTAAATGATTTATCCGAAACCCTTTTAAATTAGGAGAATTTGCTCTATTATTGTTATAGCTAATTGGTAATCTATCGTCAGATTAAGCTAATTAAAGTAACCACTTTAGGAATAAAATTAATTGTGATTAATTAAAGAATGAATACGTGTCTTGGTTAGATCATTGATTATTGAGAGGTCTAAATAAATAAATAATACTACACTATTTTGTACAAGAAGTCATTAGGGACTGCATGCCTGCATTTTGTTAAAGTCTATACCAGCTGTATTAAATTAAAATGATTAATGAATTGATCCTTGTCATACTATAGTCACATGGACTCCTCACTCATCTCTTCTGATAAAAAAGATACTTCTGCTCTTAAAAGTATCTTCTTTCTTTTAGAACGTCTTAGTTCCTCATGTTGACCAAATAAAATTACTCCATTCCTACGTTTTAATTTGTTTAGAATTGATACAGTATTTAAGAAAGTAAAAATAGTAAATTTTAAAGCTCAATCACAAAGAGTGTGATAGGACGATGAAATCCGTCAAATTAAATAAGTTAGTATTTTTTATTCGATATTTAAAACAAATAAAAAAATCACATGAAGTATAAATTGATTCCGTTCAATCTACTAGTGCTAAGGATACAACATTTCACATTTCCGTATATGATTTGGAAGTATCGAACAATATATATATATATATATATATATATATATATATATCAATATGTGAGAAATTCTATTATGAGACATGATAATTTTTACTTGTCGTAGATGAAACAACAATCGTACTATACATTCCGTGGTGGAACCAGGTTTCCATAGATCAAACAACAATCCTACTATACATGATAATATATCCATAGAATTTTCAATCTAATCTTAATTAATAAAATAATAAATTAATCACATTTCTTTTCTATAGAAGAATAGAGGACTCGAGAAAGCACCATGAATATGTTATATATATATATATATATAAAAAAAAAAAAAAAATGTATCTTTATTAAAATGTACATTAATGGTCATATGGACTATAGTATATCTAAGTTGTCAGTTTAGTTTGATATTTTACCTAATCAATCAAATATTGTTTGTCCCTTTTCCAAGTCATAGATCATATGTACGATTTTACATTGATTTGATTTGATTTTCGAGTTTCTTCAACGCTTCTTCCTTCACCCTTAAATCAAATGTTTAGAGTTTGATCTTTGAGGATGGAGAAATTCGTGATAGGAAATACTTTCTCCTTTAATGAGACCTGTACAATGTGAATTTAGATTAGCAAGGTCAATGAATACAAAATGTCAGATGGCTATGCCAAAATATTTAATATATGCCAAACGTCAATTTTATGTGATTACTTATTTGATTAACTTTGGAAATAAAGGTAAGAGTGATGTGAGTCTATATTTAATAATCAATTTTTCACATAGAGGACCTAAATGTAGAAAGACCAAACTGGATTCAGACTAATGAGCAATCTTTCTTATTCGTCTCACGTCACTTGTCTTAATTTAATCACATAATAGTCAAATCCCTAGAACCAAACCACTGTCTGACTAAAAAATTTAATTGCTGGCCATGTATAGCTACTATATATATATATATATGAAAATAATTATCATGTAACACAATGGAAATTTTGACACGAGGATGTCAACATTAAAGTCCCCTCAAGATTTTGTACGTGGAAAGGTTTGGTTTAAACCATAAAAGTCTATGATCTTAGCCTTTAAGTAAAAAAATATTAAGTACTACTAGTTATAATTGAGATAGGTCAAAACCTTATGATATATAAAGTCATGTGCATGATGCACCATGTGATAATTACATGTACAATTTACTTGTACTAAATAATTATAATCTAAAGAGTGGTAGAAGTTCCGGATTAGTTCAAGTCTGCTAAAAGAGCAATCATATATCTGTTAATGTAAATTAATACTATAAAAGAATCACTAGCTATTTGCTTGGTAATTGTAATATCAAGTTTTTGTAGTATTTGTTTGATACACAAGATAAACGTAAGTCAGACTAATCGTGTGGTTATACCAACTTTGAAGTGTGAAAAGAAACAATTACTAACAACTTCGTATCACTGTTGTAGAAAACTAAATTAAGGGTTTGTGAGGAAAACATTTTCTTTTTTCTTTTGTTCGGTTGGTCGAAATTTTTGAAAAATATTTTTGATCAAGTTTCTTAAAAAGTGAGAAAAAAAAAGTTTTTCAAATGGCATTACACATTAATTGTTTCCTCTCTACCCTCTAACATATCACATCTTCACCCCAACCCCGTACCCCATATCCCCCTACAACCCCACCCTTATCCTTCTTCAAACCTTTTGATATGTATTGTTCCTTAACTATAGATCAGATCCATCAGACATGAAACTCAATTGCGCATATCCACCAAACTCCCATATTATTTGTCTAACAAATGATTTAGAATAATATTTTTTACTTACGTATTAAACACAAGCAAATAAATTAGAAAACTCACTTATTTTTTCTCTTAAAAAAACATCTCCCTTTGCACCAAACACACCCTAATATTGGATTTCTTAACGTCTTAGGTACTGGTCAAATCAACCCTAATAAGATGAGGTAAGATGGTGAATTGGGAACGAGTTTTTAAAAATATTTCAATACCATATCCAACCTAAAGTCGCGCAAATATGTTTAATTTGGTCAAAACTATAAAGTAGAAGTAAAAGCAATAAATTTAGCACACGCAATTTAGATGAAAAAAGGAAGCTAAATATAGACAAATGACACCACCTCATAATTGTCCTTACAAATCAGCTAAAAGACTTACACCTTTTTAAATGATTAGGGTATTCGAGTCAATTCACGCACATTATTTCATCAGATATTTATTATCTAGTCGATGTTAATATAAGTATCTGATTATTTTTTCCACCAAAAGTTCAAAACTATGAAAATAATATAATTACCACCAACATTTTGTGTCTCTATATGTTACATAACTTATTTTGTTGACCACTAGCCGATGCTAGTTTATTTGTTCCTACCTACCTTGTTCAACATTGTATACTAGTAGTGCTATTGTACTTTCCATAAACCCAATGGTGTTTAAATTTGGGAAAAATTCTTTTGATCAGAAAATTTAACCAGAATTTGACAAAAATGATAATTTACCTTTTTGAACACGTTTACCCTTTTAACTTTAATACCTTTTAACTAAAAAATGAAAAAAAAAGATCAATTTATTTTAAAATAAAAAAGATATTATAGAATTTTTAAATTTTCTGGCCATTTAACATTACCCTTAAATTTGGGACTTAATTTTCTTAAGAAAGTTCTTTTCAAATATGCATGCATCTTGTTTTCCTCTTTTCTCAACTTCCCAAGTGGAAAAAGTCACAAAAAAGAAGTTGGGGTTGTGTGATTAATGTCTCCTTTTTGGCTTCAACCATGGCAGCTTTCCCTAAAATTAGACTAAAAAATTTACAAAAAAACGTTTAGAAAAAGCCTAGATTCATGTGCAAACTTCCAAGAGTAATTAATGCACAAAACCTAACAGTTGGCATCAATCTTTTTCTTGATTCTTCAGATTTTAACAATTAATTACTTTACTTAAACAATTCTGCATAATGACATTCCATACATGATTAAATAATCACTACGACCTGATTTTTATGGCAAACAATAATCTTAACTGCATGTATTCAACAAGAAAAGTATTCAAAATACATACCTTATGTACAGCCTAATTAAACTTCCCATTCAAAATTATGTGATATCAATAAAAAAAAGGAACTTTACTAATGTTAATTTATTAAGAGATGATATATTTGGTACCACTTGGCATTTATTTTTTGTGGTCCTAAAGTATTGAGGCATTTTAATAGATTTCAGATTCTTTCTCATTCTTTACCTACTTCTTTCTTTCAAGTTGTTTTGCTTAAATTAATGGTATCATCTACCCAAAACTGCTACAGAGCATAACATGTACACACGAATTAAGCTCAGATTTTATAAATGTAAATTTAAATATTTGTTCGGGGATGAAATTTTAGCCAGTTTTGGGGCCTCCACACACGAAACTTCAAATTTTAGAAAGCACAACATCAAAACTCAAATTTTCAAGCTTCAATTTCAAAATGGGAGCAAAATCTACCTATGGACTCCTCATATTATTATACTAACACACCAAACAATTCTATTTTTTGACTGTCCATTCATCTGATTTAAACTCTGAATTCAACACCAGAAATTTAAAAATAAAAAGAGAACTGATAAAATTGTTAACAATATACTTTTGACTAGACTAAAAATTATGTATACATACGTTAAAAGTAACTAGAGATAGAACTTCAAGATTTGGGCATGTTCTAATGTTCATGGTAGAGTTAAAACACAACCCATTACATAATTAAATCCTAAATAAACCAAAAAAAAAAAAAAATACTAAAAAATAAAATAACTTAATTAACAGAAGTTCATAATCCTACCAGAAACAAGAGGATGACCATCCAGTAGTAATACCACTACTAGTATTATAGTAACTTGAATTTTGAATTCGACGAAAAAACCTTCTTCTTCTATACCCAAAGATACCATATTTGAGTCTCAACCAAACCAATTTCCTGATTTTTCTTGCTGATCTAAGCTTTACCCAAATCACCCTTTTGACTCTAAAGAAAGATTTCTTTATCCTTTCACTCACACTCTTCTTCCTGCTGAATTGATAGCTTCTCAAGAAAAGCTGTCTCTTTTCTATGTCTGTGTACCCTGTTTCTGTTCTGAACATGTTTACTGCCCCATAAGACATGTGCTTTAGAGCCATATTATGATCCATACATATATATAGGTTGAGAGAGAGAGAAAGAGGAGTTGTGTAGTGGGGAGGAAGAAGAAAGGGTAGTGGTGGTATATAATGGTCCTGAATTTAGGGAAGAGAGGGGTTGGAGTCTGAATGCTCTGTTTTTTTTTTTTTTTTTTTTAGGTCATGCTCTGCTCTGCAATCTATTAATGTTTGCTTTACGGACCATAACGCCGTCGTAAGGATGCGCCTTCATTTTATAGCAACTCCGCCTTTTTTTTCTTCCTTTTTTACTTTTCCCATGCTTGTTTGACCTTTTTTTTAAAAAAAAATAAATCTATTTATACCTTTAGATTTATTTATTTTTAAAAAAAATTAATGGTGTTTCAATTTATTTGTCCTAATTTCTATTTCAGGCATGTATTAATTGACCTATTTTAGATGTTTTTAACCTAAAATAATTTTTAATCACTTCAAAATGTTTGGTAAAATTAAAAAGTGTTTTAGTTTTTAAGCTAATTTAACAAAAATATATGAAAATTTATAAGTTAAATTTTTATTTTTCTTAGTTTAACAAACGAACCTTGATCTATTTCAAAAAGAATACTTTTTAAAAAAAAATTAATTCTAATTTTTCACATGTCACCACAAAATAAAAGAACATTTTTAATATATTTAACATATGTCTAATTTAAAAATCATTAGATTCAAAAGTGTTTTTTACATTCACTAGACAAATAAATTGAAACATAAATAGTAATTTTATTCATTAAAATTCAGGTAGACTAATATTTCTCCACTAAAATTTGAACACTAATTTTGCTAAATCAATCTCTGAATTGTTGAGTACATAAACAAAGTCGTCTGATAGCTAGAAAAAGAGAGAGAGAAAATGCAAATACGGAATAGGTGACTTTTTTAAGGAGGTCACGTGACAGTTGAGGGTATTGTGGGAAATTGAAAGAAGTTTTAGAGAGAAAATCACGTGACCTTTTTTGTATATTTTTGCATGTTAGGCCATTTAAACAGTTAGGATCTGTTTTTTTCCATTCGAGACGTGGCATAACTCAACCACGTCAGTTACTTTTGACTTACTTTATTTTGTATTTTTTCGAAAATAAATACTACTATATAAAATTTTGAGCATATATTCTCCTTTGTTTTGATTTATTGCAAGAGTAAATTAATGAAAGCATGATATAGGATATTCTCCCATTTAATTTTCTTCATTTCATCATTTAATTCAAGCATGCAATTTGAGAATGGTACACGATTTTTATACTGTTTAGATTTTGTTACATAACAAATGTTCTAGTCTTCCTAATTAAGTCTCTATTTTATTTTATTTATTTATTTACCTGAATTTATACTTCTTCTTTCACTTTTCTGAATAAATTCGTAATGTAGAAAATATAATAATTATTTGAAAATTCACTTATATTTCAAGAAAATATGTTCTAACGTACTCAAATGTGTTTTACCAAGTCATGAATCGTAAATTACATGGTCATAGAGGTTTAGGTAATCCAATTATTATTAGGATAGACTAATCTTAAGGAAGAATCAGAGACAAAATGGATTTCTTAAACCCTATTGAATTCATATGTTTCTTGCAAAAAAATAATAATAATTTAAGATATGTAGCAACTCAAAGAAAGAGAGTTTGGATAAACATAAAATTCAGATTTTATTAATCAGAATAGGTGTAACCAATCCCTTACATTTGTGTATGTCTTTCAGTACAAGCATTAACAGCAAAACCAAATACTAATTACTTGTATCCTAAATTATTATATTTGTTACATCAAAATCACATAACTTTGTTTGGTCATTTAAAATTCATAAAATAAAATACTGTATCACTTTAATAACCAAATGGTCACAATAGCCTGAATATGCGTCTTCAAATCTAAACATGAAGCAATTAAGCTAATTATAATTAAAAACTAATAATATTATAATATAAGAATGTTGAGATCTCAATTAAGTGGGAGCTAGTTTCCTTAAGCGTGAATCATACGATTGCTTGCGACTAAAAAGTAAAAAGAAGATATCTTGATTCATGCATTAATTAATATGAATATTAATATTGCAAGAGACGACTAATTAATTGAACAATCACAAGTAGGGATAATCATTAGAATATATAGTATGATGATTTGAAGGTATTATAATTTGTTCAACTAGTAGTTTTTTCAATCTTTTGTTCAACCAAAAAGCAAGCTTATTTTCATGTCCAACTACATAAACTCGTGGTACAGTGCTGCTTTTTACCTCCCCCCCCCCCCCCCCCCCCAAGAAAAATAGACCAATGATAATATATATGAATCCTCTTGAAATAAACTAGTCAAACTTCTAAAATTAACTTAAAAAAAGAATATTTGGTGAGAAGCAATTTGTGTTGACCAATAAATTAAATTTAAAAAACAGTTTTGAGGTTCAATTATACTTTTAGCTTGGTTTAACTGACTAAAAGTTGTGGCATGAAACTGTTGGTCAGATAAAAAAGGAAAACGCTCTGTGTATCACAGTTAAAAGATACCGATCTTCTTCTTCCCAGTTTGTTATTCTTTTTTTTCCCACCATAAAAAACAATATGCTTAATTCAATGTGAATGTATACATATAAGCCATTTTTCACTCAGATAAGACGAGTGAGAGCCGTGTTTGGCACAAATATTGAAATACCACATAAAAGAGGTGGTTACATTTCTGCAACCAAGTATATGGCCTGTGGTATATTTAGTCACGTCTCTCAAAACCAATAACGTACACCATAGACATTATTCTGATATAACATAACATGTGTCTGGTTGTGATATTACCCAACTATATATTTTATACTATAATCCCATGATAACCTGCTTTTTTTAAAACAAAACAAATACCACTACTTAAATTTGGTGAGGTAAACATTTTAGTCGAAGATCTTATACTTTTTAAATGAAGGGTTAAATCAATCGCAATTCACACAATTCCACTTCTTTATTTTATTGAGAATTTATTGGAAGGGTCATAAAACCAAACTGCTTAACCAAAATGTAAGCGGCATTTATTATTCAATCAACACTAACTCCAAATGAATCATTTCAGAACAACAGTGCAACACAGATTAGTGCCCAAAAGCAATCCAATCATTCAGATATTTGAATTAAAAGACGGATAAAATATGATGAGCTTGTGTTAAAACACATACAAATGTAACATAACTGAGGTTTCTCTAATTACACTAACATATGGAAATGGGAACAAACAATCAAAAGTACATGGTAGAAAACTAGCTTTGCCTACATTTACAAACTAAAGTTACAACTGTGAGCTTCACAGCGACATACTCAGGTCACGTGTGACGCTGGCCATATCTAATTCCCAACAAAATAAATCCACACCTGGTTGAAAATTCAATAGCATCACCTTGACCCAGGATTGGCTGCAGGTACCTTAGATGGATAAGTTGAAATGTCTACATCAATCAGTGATAAGTCATAGGGTGCTGAAACATTAGTTGATGCATCCATAAGCAAAGAGTAGTTCATTGCCTCCGATTTCCCTGTTTGCTGGCCTGCAACAGGATTTTGTGGATTGTTGTTATTAGCAGATGGGGAGAGAGTAGATAATTGTACATCTTCCTGTTTGTTCCCAATTATGTGCTTGTTTTTCCTAACAGTATCCATCTCTGGGCCAGTTGGGACAAAAGTCCTCGCCCTGTACTTTGTTGCACCCCCTTCTTCAGCATCACCGTGATTATAAAGAACATAATCATGATAAGTAGGAGCAAACTGCATTCATGGAAGCAAATAACATTTGTTAGGACACATGTGGAGTACACATACAGCACAAGTGAAAATGAGCAAGTGTCTGCCTTACCTGGTGAACCGTGTCATGGTAAAAGTCATTTAGCATAAGGGCATGTCCAAGGCTAGCAGTAAAACCACGAGGAGGACCAATATTTGCGCCAGCATATTCCTTGTATGGGAATGCATAAAGATGAGCAAAAGCTGCAATAAGCATCTCAACACAAATTATAAAATTCTGGAATTCAGCAGCTTCCTCGGTATCTTTAATAAGTTCGGACTTTGCAGCAAGAAACACCAGAACACCCTGACAGAGGAAGTTAAAAAGAATGATTCGAATACCTAGAAACATCATTCTACACAGTAAATTATAATAGATGGAACAAAAGACAGTCAATTTCTGTGATTTCAGTAAAAATTTTGAAAGGAGAAAAAACTGAAGTGGGTCAGTCTCAAAAAGTGGTATCGTTAAGGGTGAAATGGAGATGGTAAGATTTAATAGTTTCCAGAAAGTGCAAAGAATCAGTTTTGGGTCAGTCTCAAAAAGTGGTATCGTTAAGGGTGAAATGGAGATGGTAAGATTTAATAGTTTCCAGAAAGTGCAAAGAATCAGTTTTGGGTCAGTCTCAAAAAGTGGTATCGTTAAGGGTGAAATGGAGATGGTAAGATTTAATAGTTTCCAGAAAGTGCAAAGAATCAGTTTTCGGGTACATACTAAGAGAAAAATGTGCCACAGAAAACGGGACAGCGGAAATAATATCATTTTAAGCTAATATGCCGGATTTGGTGAAACCAAAGAGTGTTCAGTAGTCAAAAACTGAATTATATTTTGCTTACTCAACAGCAAAGTGAGAAAATAACATGTAACTGAGCAAATCTGGGGAGTTACCTGCCAGTACGTAAGGAATACGACGGATTTTATAATGATGAACTTTGGAACTGGATTAAATGGACGGAGCAGATCTTTGCATGCCACGTAAAACAAAGCCAATGCATAAAGTGCCATTGAATATGAGATAGTATATATAATTGTGAGGTAGAGGTATGATTGGCTTGGACTGAAATTTCCGTCCTCATATTTTCCTTTTACATATAGTATGATTGTAACGAGCACTAATATGGGCTTGAGAATCACAAACTGCAAACACCCCTGCTTGCACCTTCGGATAAAGCGCCTGCATAGCTTTAACATTATCAGAATTACATTTCAAATAAATAAACAAAAAAAACAGAGATTTAAAGTCCAGT